TTGGGATAACTCAGGCCCACACAGTGTCACTCCACGCTTTTCTACAGGAATCCGTGTGTGTTTTGGTCTAAAAAGTTCACATTGTTACACGCTTTTTGATTGTTTATTTTAGTTCTTCACCAGAGGGATGTTAACCACTTCATTGTGGTCTATACTGTCAAATTTGTTAAACCCCTTTGGATTAATTTACTGCCTGATTTTTATTCCAAACGAGACCTGATTTACAATCAAATCACTGGAAAAAGTACTTGTGGGGGAAATCTATATATGTATGATCATTTTCTTTTCTATTCTTCTTTTCTATTCTATTTCTTTTCTATTTTATTCTCTCTGGTAACTCACCACAAGTGGATATTTTAAAGGTTCTTTTTCTTTCTGATGGGACTCATTCCTCCTTCTAGGTCTCAGAGAGGGTCTCCTTATACTTTATCTCTGAATGTTTTGGCTGGAGGATTGTTTGGTGCAGGTCTCTCTATGATGGGAGACAGATTTTACCCCCCTTCTGGGGCTCAGGGGTATAAAACGTACTATGATTTTTGTTTTACTTTGGAGCAGCTTGATACGTTGCATGGTTGCTCTCACTTCCTGAAGTTCCTACCATGCTAACGCTACCATGCTAACACTACCACAACCTACCTGCTGATAGGCCCTCCACAGTCCCAAATGTACATAATCACATGATTAAAAACTTGGTTTTGCATAATATGTCCCCTTTAATACATTTTCTATCTCTTACTCTCTTAAACGGACTCAGACTCTTGCTTCAGAATTTCCACAACAGTAGTTTCGTTTCACAATCACATCATAAAATGCCAGTTTTTCCATGACAAAAACATCACAAATCCAACGTTAGAATCTTTTATTCATTTATATAGCACAAAATGTACTCATATAGCACAAAATCTTTATGTGGAAAGGCTCGTGTACACGCCCACAAAGTCTGCCGTGGCCCCAAAGATAAACCTATCAGAATCAGAATCAGAATCAGAATCAGAATCAGAATCAGAATCAGAATCAGAATCAGAAATTCAGCAGGTGGCCGCTAACATTAGCATCTATTACAGTCATTCATTAGAACAGAGATCATTTTTGCTCCTTTTTTTGCTCCTCTAAAGATGCAGAACTCCCAGTATGTATTTCTTCTGTGCTCATTCAAGTGATTTATCTCTTTCATCATTGAAAATATCATTGAAAGCTCCATTTTG